CAAATGCGAACAAAAAACCAGCTGTGACCAAATTTGACATCCTGTCAATTTATCTATCTAATCTATACATAAACTTAGTACACTTATTCAACTTTCCAAGCTATTACCTTCTTTTTCTCACAAAGCTGTTTTTTTTTAATTTCTTTTTAAACATATATCTTCAATAGGCACCCATTTAATATTATTTGGTACCTTCATTAGATCCCGCCTCATGCTATTGCAAAAAGGAAGATATCTCTGTTCGTACGGTTAGGCTAAAAAGTGCTGCCCTCCGGAGGCTGGGAAAGTTTCATATTTTCCTTCAACGTCATCAAACGACGGAGTTCCTGAAGAACTGTTTTAATTGTATATTCTCGTTGCCATTTTGCAAGAACTGGCACACTGCGATTATCCACCTTGCAAATTTTATATTATTATAAATATATATGTTCTTATCTCACATACACATACATATTTGCATATTGAAGTTATACTCACAGCTCCAGTAGCACTGTTAATGCAATTCATATTGATTCTGCTTAAAAATCTTACATTAGGTGCATCATCTGGATATCTTTGACCACAGTCAATTTTTAAACTATACATCCTATTTTCATACGGTGTCTAAAAAACCAATACAATATTATATTAACTGTTAAATTAGTAAAGTATTCTACATACATATGTACAAATCTTGATATAAGATCACATTTATTTTGTGATTAATGAATTCTTAGACATCAAATCACATATTTTATATTTTAATATATAATAAACACTTCCATATAATACAATATACATAATTATAATATAATCTAATTTCATTTTACATTTTAGCCTTCACAAATATATTTTATTACAACTAATACCGATACAAAAATATGTTTGACAGATACTATTTTGCTATATTTTCATCTAATAATTTATAAAAGTATTATTGAATATAAAATATATTAGATTCATATTGCAATTGTAGTGAGAAATGATACTGATAAAATATATCTTACCCTAGGTGGTCCAATAATCATACCAGTCCAATGCGTAAGGGTCATATCATCATCATTCTCCAGGCCCCAACTGATCGTTCCATCGCCTACACCCTTCTGCCCTTGCTCTAGCTCTTCTAAGAGACGAAAGTTTCGGGGCACGACTGAAACAGGATTTATCGCGGCTTACAATCGCGTTATCCATCGTAACAGTTGATTGAAATGTATCGCACGTTTGCGCCAATACAGGTTATGGCTCAAGGTGGGACTTGAGCATGGTTAACCTTTTACACTATTGTCGTGTTTTCGAATCTTTCGCGGGCGGCAAATGATTCACCGAATCTCCCGAAACGAATCACAATATTGTGAGAAAAATATCGACCAGCGGCGGAAGGTTCTACCGTGTTCTATCGTCTCTCGATGACTTGTTATAACAAGAAATATAGCAATTTGCGATATCCGACATCCGCTGACAACTTGCGTTTTTCGTGGCACAAACTACCCGATGATTATTGTTAAATTATCTAGGTAAAATTCCGTATCTTAATAAAATTGATAGACCACAATAATGTGCATCTTTTCGCGTAGGGTCGTTTAACAAAATAACTCACCTACACCGGTGTTGGGCACCGCCATGATCTCGTATTTCTGTGGAGCGCCGTATTTTTTTTCCGAAAGTACAGCGGGCGAACGCACACTGTGCGCGAACGTGCGCAGCGATTCACACGTGGGGCTGGCGCGGCTTTTAACTGGGCGTAACAACGTAAATGTGTGTTAACTTTCTATCGATTGCGGATCCACGTGTCTGCTTATTAGCGCAATATATGACGCCTTTCTCTTTTACTTTATCTTAATACAGTTCAATCAATGCAATTATTTACACATTATTATTGAAATAAAAAACAAAACGCGCAATTCAATTAAGATTCTTTGAATATTTCCTTTGATTTTTTTCTAATATATACTTTTGTTATTTGTAGTTATTAATATTTTTTTTATATAACTAAAATATTTTTAATTATATTTTAATACCATTTATTTTTATTGTTATTGGTAACTGGTGATTTCTTTGGCGAGAAATAAAATTTCTCGAAAATAAATTGGAAAAAATTAAAATTAAACAGATTTTTACTCTTCTAATCTGGTACATTTCGATCAAATGATAAAATAATAATAGATTTATTGTGTTAGTATTAAATTTTGCATTTTAAAGTTTAAATATAAAACTGAAGAATCTAAAATGTTTCCTTAGCTAATTTGATCTAGAAAGATAAGGAAAATATAACACACACATACACAATGCTGTTTATATATAAGAAATATATTTTTATACTGTATTGGACCCATATTCATTATTTAAATGCTTTACAGGCTATTAATGTCTTCCAATTAGATTTAACAATTATTAAAATATAAATATAAACGTATATCTTATAAATATAAACTTTCCAGTGATGTTTTACGCAAGAAGATAAATTGATATTGACAATATTGTATAATGAAGTTCTATACTCTTGTCACTTTATAATGTCTCTTATAATACATTTAAAATGCATGCAAAGAGAATTGAGGAAGACATAAATTATAATGTCGATTTACGTTATTCGATGTTAATAAACTTTATTACAGTAATATATAATTATCCTAACTTTTCCCGTACTATAATGATTCCATAAAAAACATTGTCCTTCTTACGTCTTAGCCAATAATACTTCAATATTACATAACTCTCAGCCTTAAAAATATCTTTTTATTAAATAAAACTGATATTTTTGCAAAAAATACTATCTTGTATCAGAAATAGTTTAGGTACAAGGTATCTTAAGGAGGACAGTAGAATGTGTCTCCTTTTAGAAAAACTTTCATATGCTCATAAAAATGCAGAATGCAAGGATAAATTGTCTATGTATTGTTAAAATGTATATCTTATTTTCTCTCCATGAATGTATGATGAAAAATGATATATTGTTAGTACTCAACAAGTTTTGGACGGGTTTTAAAGTAAATAAATGCTGCTATTATCACAAATATCGCAGCTATGGTGGGCAACACAACCGTAAACACTCTCTGCTTATTCTCCAAGAATTCCTTTTTTCGCTCTTTCTTTTGTTTATTTGTCTCTTTCGTTTTTCCTTTTAACTGCCGCATGTTTCTGTTGCTGCAAATTAATAAAATTTATTAGAATAAAGATTTTCCTATTTCTAATAATATTTTATACAATTTAATAAACCAATATAATATACCGATAAAAATATATATAAGTAAAAATATTTTTATTTCTAAATCAGTATTTAATTACTGAAAAAAGATGAGATTGAATTTTTTTGAAGTATCAGTGCAATGTAGATTTTAAATCAATCAAAATATTAGTATGTATATTTATTAATAATCTTAGAACGAGCACTACATGTCGTGCATATGTCTTACAACATTGACATCCGAACTCTTCAAGATTTGACATCTGCACGATTTTTCTCGAATAAATAAATAGTTGAAAACTACATATACACACATACACACTTCAATCTCGCAGTTAATGAACGGGAGGTGTCAAGATGTTAATACCTTGGATGCTCGGAGCGAACAGATGAAGAAAGAAATTCGCAAAGACAAAGCCGCAATCGTCAGTTGCTGTTATTACAAACTGGATTTGTGTACATGACACGTAGCAAAATAGCACTAAGGTACCGGCTTTGCTGTCACTTCCGCACGCAGATGATTGTGCCACGCGTGTTCCGAAGTGGAACGCTACGAAGTTATCAGGCATATAAATTACGATTCGGAATGAGTTTCGGAACGCATTTAGGATGTACTCAGATAATTGCATAATGCTTATGCATAAGAAAATCAATCAATTACGTACTTAATATAAATTTATATGGTTTATTATATATCCTTACTAATCATATTTGTTTCCAAAAGCTTATTATTCATTATTTTATTTTATAAACACAACCATTATTGCGTACCGTCGGTACGAGCCATAAGAATGTTTATTATGACTGTGTTGCGAAACGCACTGATAGCTGTCCTGCTAGTGCTGAAAACTTAAACGTCAAAAAGTTCGTTTGCGCCGCATGCTCCAACATGCTCTTACTCGCTCCAATACGCTCCAATCTCTAATATAGTATTATGTTACATATAGTTGAAGCGAGTAGGAGCATGTTGGGACATTACGATGCGACAAATCTAAACTATACGTAACATGAGCTGTAGATTGTCAGTACTGACAGCTGACAGTGCATATTGAAGTACAAATCCAATCCTATGTATTTTTTCTTTCTCCTTTTTTTTGATTAAGTAAAACACAGAATGATAAGATATAAAATTGATATAAAATACGACGCAGATAAAAACAGCAAGACAGTAAGACAGTATTAAGAAAAGTAATAATTTTTCAATGAAAGAAAAGTTTATAGATTTTTGACAAAGTGTTTACATTTGTTTAAACGTAAAGGTTATGTGCTTTCAAAGTTCCGAGCAATTGTTATAGAAAAAATACAGGAATATGACAATTTTACATCCAACACATCTCAGGAAGGAAGGAAATTAATGTCCTTAAATCAGTGCAGTGATTCAAACAATATGATAAATAATGAAAGAAAAGAAGACACTTGGGAAACTTGTTACGGTAAAAAAAAAAGAAAGAATAAAAAAGTAGCACCACCACGTGTTTTACAAGTGAAAGCTGTGTGCACCGATGTAAAAGCGAATAATTCAAATAACAAATCATCCACTTTGCATCTTGCTAATAATGAAAATATTAGTAATGATTCCAAATTGTCAAAAGCCATTGATACATCAAACACCAATACCGTTAAATACAATAATGTAAGAGATACAAGTGACAAAAATACCTCTACCTCCAATTTAAAAAAAGATTCTCTACAAACCCACGACACAAAGGAGAAGAAAGATGAAATGGTATTTTTGAGAAAGGACAATGTGCAAACTAATATAATAATAAATAATTCAATTGACAAGGCTTTGTTATTTGCTAATAAGGAAGATAATGATTCTATTTTATCAAAAACAGCTGATTTGTCAAACACTGGTGTTGTAGAATATAATAATGGAGATAACAGTGACAAAGATATCTTTACTTTACAAAACCCAACTCATGGTGATACTCAGAAAACTTTTCTGGGTAAAAAGAATAGAGTCAACAATAAAAAGAGGCAGCTATTGCGAAAGAAGAATGCACCAACTGATATACAAATGGATAATTCAAATAACAAAGCTCACACTTCGCAATTTGTTAATAATGAATACTATAATAATCTTCCAAGTACTAGCACTGCAAAAGTCAAGAATTTTGATAATACAAGTGATAAAGATACATCTGCTGTAACTCAAAATTCAAAATTTATATTTTTTGATGTAGATTATGAGTTTCACGAGGCAAATCATGCAATAATTGATACATTTGCTATTAACATATATTTCTCCCTATGCTCTGATACTAGGGAAACTTTCTGTTTAGTATGTGACGAAACCATTCAACTTCAAAACAAAGGCAAGTTACAGAAGCACTTTTGCAATCATATCCGATCTAAAACGCACGTAAAATTGTTGTCTCAGATGATAAAAGATGACAAGAAATATATAAAAGATGGAAAATTTTATAGTAAATTAGGATTGGCACGGGAATGCATGAAAAGCAGAAATGATTTTGTTGAATGCTTGTTATGTGATAGCAACAACTTTTCTAGTAAAATAAAAAATAATGAAGAATCATTACAAGAACACGTGACCAGCAGCACACATCAAAATTTCAAATTATCATGGACATCTTCTGTAAAAAATGTGTTACAAGAGGTCCATAACAATTTCCGGAGTAAATACAATGCGAAGAAATATCGTTGTGAACTTTGCAATTATGAAAGCTCGTCGGAGATCTACTTTATAAAACACTTGCATGTTCCTTATCATATGACACGATTGGTAGAAATTCCTGACCATACGGAAAGATTTAAATTTTGCTTTTGCGCTGCTTGTTTGCTCCTGTGGTTTGGTAGTTCTGAAACGTACAATCGTCATTGTGAGCAGATCGAACATAAGCTTGGAATAACATACGGTTCTGATCTAGATCGTTTACCAGAACAAGTGGTACAATTCTTAATTATGTCTAAGGAAAATGCTGCGGTTTTGCTCGAGAGGTCTAATCATGTATGTCACAATGAGACAATTAATCATGTATTGTACAACTTGATAACTGATTTACGAAGATTTCTGCCACATGTAAAGGCTTATCCTTTTGGATCCAGGATTTCAGATTTAGGATTTCCCAATAGCGATATTGATATTTTTCTTGATTGTGGTAAGTTAATTTTAATTTATAAAATAGCTTTTGTTATAGGGATATATATATAGTTGGAATGATTTCTTTAATTTGTTAATATTTAAAATATTTTCCTGCGTACCTGAGTTTATCAAAACAGGAGCATTAACATTTTAATATAATTATCATTGTTGCTATTTATATTGAAATAGTATATTATTTAAAGTTTATTTACAAAACAAAGAGTGTGTCAAACATTTTGATATTGATTTATATAACTTTTGGGACTTGCAATTATATCAGAAATAAAATAAAATTTTATTTTTACTTTCAAATATGCAATAAATTAGCAATGTAACAATTTGAAAATTTGGTTCCTACAAATTTTTATTTATTGTATATTACTTTTTATTATCATGAGTTATATATATGCTTTGTATCTATTTATTCTAATTTTTACTCTATTCTTGTGATTCAGATAATATGTATGAAGGAAGAAATTCAACACGTCGTCATTGTCAGACTCTGATTGTAATGGTTGCATATTATCTATCCTTTAATAAACAATCGTGGAAAGTGCACGAAGTGATATTACATAGTAGAACACCAATTGCAAAAGTACAGCATGTTCTTTCTGGACTTACTTGTGACATTTCAGTTACAAATGGGCTAGCAGTGGAAAATACAAAAATAATTAAGTAAGTTTCTTTTTCTTTTTTGACATAAATCTGAAATAAAAGTATTTTTAGTATTATACTGTATTTTCTGGGATACAAACAAAAATAAAACTTTTTTTCAAGGTGCTTTAATCGTGCTTTTCCATTGTGCCGAAAAATGATTTTATTTCTTAAACGATGGTTGCACTTCTGCGGCTTATTAGGATCGCGTCTTGTAACAAGCTACGCCATAACGTGGTGCGTTATTTTTTATCTGCAAACTCTACTAGTGTTTCCCAACATCTCAGAACTAGTTAAATTAAAAAATAAATCATGGCGAATTAGTGGTAAGTAGGAATATTGTTTAAAATATTTTTATAAAATATTAAACATTTTTTTATAAATTTAATTTAATTTAAACGAGTTAAAGTGTTAACTTAATAAATAAATCAGAGTGAAAGACAATAATTATTTACTAATTAATATACTCAACTTATATATTTTATGTTTATATGCTTATGTACTTTTCAGTTTACATATACTCAGTATTTACTTTTTTTATTTAGGTTGGGAAGTTGGTATAAGCTATGATTTTCCTATTAGGAAAATAGATCACACTTTTGAAGAACTTTTATTAGGATTTTTTATATTCTATACAGATTTTAACTTTAAAAATCACGTGGTCTGTCCATTGTTGGGTCAACCAATAGAAAAAAATGCATTTACCAATCTGTCAAATTTACCGCAAGATATGATTCCGTATATTAATTATATGCAGAACACTTCTACAGAAGAGGAGCCTCAAGCTTTTTCCATATCGTCGTTATGCGTCCAAGATCCATTTGATTTGTCACATAATCTTACAAAGGCGGTGTCTAATTGTAAGCTAAAAAAGTTTCAGACTTATTGCAATTATAGTGCAAAAATACTAAAAAAAACTATCCCATATCTGAAGCCACCGTCGTAATCTTACCTTAATTAATATACGGTATCTTGATTGATATGAAATTAATATATAGGAAATACTTGCATCTCTTAACATCATAGCTTGATATGTCTTAACATAACTTTATATTATTTTTCTACATTTTTATCTAATAATTGTTACTCAATGATTCATAGCTTAAAATTAAATGTTTTAAATATTAAGATTTATATAAAGGGGTATCATTTTCTAAGTATATGTATATTTTAGATGAACACTTTTATATTTGGACTGACTGAACTATTTGGCTGATTGGATGTATTATTAGTTTCGTTTTATTAGTAATTAGTTTTTACATAATTTACATATACATATTGTGATGTCAATCCATCTGTATTTTACAAAAAATTTAAATATATTGTATAATATAGATGAAGTAAATTGAAAGATGGAACAAATGACATTGTTTTATGATTTTTTAAATCTATTTTAGCTTATTATACTATTATTATTATAACTTATATTATTATTATAGTAAAAGTTATACTTATTGCTTTTTAATGTAAAAAAACTATTTCATAAAAGAAAATCTTATATTTAAATATCATGATTAAATTTATCTATAAGAGATTTTAGCACTTTTATATAAAGCTTTAACTTATACAGAGATCTATTTATATAATGTTATAAATAACGTTAGAAATTGAAAAAAAAAATTACATATGTGTTAGATGCATAGAGATATAAGACTAGAGGGAGCGAACGAGCTGAAAGAGCGATATAGCGATAGAAAGAGAACGCTGCATAAGGGCCCCTCTGTCTTTGTTTATGTGCGCATGTGCAGATCATGGAATATATGCGTGCGGAGCGTGCGCATATGTAGTAGATTGCTGTAATAAGTTTGTAATTTTGAGAATTTTTCTTTAAGGTTATAGCCGAGAGCACAAGCTTTTACATAAAGCATAACGCATAAGACATAAGG